ACGCTCCTGTTCAGATACAAGCAGATCCTTTTCTTTCTAGCTTTTGATTCTATTTCTACAGAAAATTCACAAGTCTTTATACATTATACATATAATAGGTCAGTAACGTTTGCATTAGTTCCGAACGACTGACAATTCACTGACGATTTACGGCCTTCGTGCTGGAATCAAAGCGTAGTTCTCGTTCTCCTATGTCCCGTGGTTATATCATCGGGCCATTCACGAACAAACATATAGAGGGATGCTTGATACCGAGGATTCCAGTCCCGTGGCAGCACCTCTTGCTTTTCAAAATATAAAAAAGGTTGGTAAAATGACGATTCCAGCATGACTATCGTCGCGAAGACTTGGTAATTTTTTGTTCTTTGCCCATATGTAAGCGTATAGGCATCCGTATTAAACCGTACACGTGTCACATCCTACCGCCGTGTGTAGGGTAGGTAAATACTGACGAGCTTTGCTCGGCTTTTACGCTGAGATCAATGTGTAGTATCTGTTCTCCCCTTCTTTGTCGTGGTTTCTGTGTAGTTCCCGGAGATTCCAATCCCGTAGCAACACCTCCCTCATTACACTGAAGAGGCTATCGACGCCAACTTTTTTGGACTTAGCTGATATGTACACGTAAAAATGAAAAATGACCATAACGGATCAGAGCGTAGTATCTGTTCCCATCTGTTGTATCTTTGCCTTTGGGCAATTCACGGCTTCAGGTATCCCTTGAGATTTCAACTTTACGACTGTACATCTTTTATAAAAGAAGAAAGGTTGTTGGTCAGCGTGACAATGATAAACTTTTGTCCTTTGGTCATCCATATGTACGCGTAGTGTTAAACTATATTAAAAATGACTTTGTGTCACATCACTTTACAGTGGAAAGGTAAGTAAATATCGTCTCAGGGTGTAGTGTCTGTTCTCATCTTTGGGTGGGAAGTTCACGGTTTTGTAATGAGGGAATCCCCGGGGATTTCAACTCTGCGGTAGTAGATTCTTCATTAAAGAGGAAGGGTTGCTGGACACCGATATCAGCATGACAATGGTAAGTTTTGTCCTTGGCCCATATGTAGACCACTTTAAGTCGAGCACGTGTAACATCCTGCAACCATTGGTCGGTACCAAGATATCGACTACTGACAATCTTTTCTTTCCTGGTTTAAAACGTATTTCTATGCTAAAAATACTTACATTGTTTTTGTATAGTAAAAACATTAATCTCGCGTTTATGTTATTGATATGATGACGCTATTATGTTTGCCTTATTTTATGTGCTTGTCTCCCTTCATTATGTGGGCGACCACAGCTCTTCACATCTTTCCATCTATTGTAGCTTTAAGTAATATTTCTCCCCCCACCTTACTATCCCCTCCATTTCATTGTCTGCCGTACATTCGATCGTTAGGCATATTTTTTACTGTCTCCCTTCTGCTTTCAAAATGCTCTGTGAGTGATAAATTTCCCAAGCCCTCTTTTCTCATTATGTATCCTAGAAATTTCGAGGCTTTTTCTGATCCTACGTCCAAGTGTTCTTTTTGTCCCCATTTTCCTTAAAACTTCCTCGTTGCTCATATGTTCCTCGATGCTATCTCAGCATTCTTCTGAAAATCAGTTGGATTTATTTACACTATTTACAGCGTTGTACCCTCCGGCCTTCTTCAGGATCTGTCTATATTCCTGAGATGAGGTATTTTAACTATTTACACTATATACACCGTTCGTTCATCGTTATTGCCATATTAACGACTTTTCGGCAGTTGTACGCCCCGGGCTTCTTCAGGATCTGTCTATATTCCTGAGGTGAGGTATTTTAACTATTTACACTATATACATCGTTTGGACTGTTGTCCTCATCGTTATTGCCATATTCACGACGTTTTGTTCGTTGTACCCTCCGGCCATCTTCAGGTAATATATTTTGGAATTTCGAACTGAACCCTTTATTTAGTCCAAGGAGGTAGATTGTTCTAATTCCACGTGCCATGCCTTTTTTTTTTTTTTTTTTTTTTAGATATTTCAGTTTCAGTTAATTCCCTTTAGTAACTCAACTCTCCAAGTTTTTTGTTCCCTCTGCTGTGGCCAGGTATTGAACTCATAACTCTTTAGGTTAAGTCACTTTATGGATTACTGAGCCAAGGCTTTTACCCACTGGGCCATGTGTCCTTGGGTTCAGTTCGAAATTCCTACGTATATCACATGAAGAAGGCTGGGACGTACAACGGCCGAAACGTCGTGAATATGACAATAACGATGAGGATAACAGTCTGAATGATGTAAATAGTTACAATATCTCTTTTCAGAAATATAGAAAGATGTCAATTAGATTAATTATATTTAAATATGCGCAAATATCATTGGGAAACGTTTGAAACTATCGCCTCCCCCCCAGTTATTGGTTAAACAGTAGGACTTGTATCCGAAAAAAATTATCAAAAACTTATAATACAATATTTACTCGCAAACAAAAAGGATAGATATGATAGGATAGATAGATATGAAAAGAATGAGATAGATAAAAGTAGATTAAGATAGATAAAAAAGCAGATTATGATAGATAGATAGATAGATAGATAGATAGATGAAAGCAGATTAAGATAGATAAAAAACAGATTAGGATATATATATATATATATATATATATATATATATATATTTCATTAAAAACGACAGACAAGGTACTACGGTTAAGCTTTTTATTCAATTTTTCTTGTGTTCGAACAAGACCTTTCTTTTCTGGACAAAAGCTGTGTAAGAACTGTCCAAATGTTTTATATTTCCGAGCGCTTTCGGCTATACCTTTAGCCATTATCAAGGATGATTCAATTTTTCAGCTTAATTCAGTGTGTGCGTTATGTGTATGTCTTAGTGTGTGGTAGAGATGTTTTTAATTTCCGAATACGGCTAGCACATTGTGGCTTTGTTCGTAGTTAGTATTGTTAAGAGTTGGCTTTTTTCTTTTTATTGTTAAAGCTTCCATTATTTTTAGTCTTTTTTTACAGGTGGATGCAGTTAATATATTTGTATTTTCTACTAGTATGTTTCTAATGGAGTCTGGTAAATTTGTTTGTGTGTTTAAATGGGTTCTAATGGAGCTGTAATCAGATAGGTGTAACGTAAGAAAGCTCCTCTTCGAACACAAGAAAAACTAAATAAAAAGCTTAACCGTAGTACCTTGTCTGTCATTTTTAATGAAACATGCATAAAGGAAGGATTGCTGCCTAAATATACAACTATATATATATATATATATATATATATATATATATATATATAGATAGGATATATATATATATATATATATATATATATATGTATATATATATATATCCTAATCTGTTTATATATATATAGTTATATATATATATATCAGCAGGATGTGATAGATGAATAGATAGATAGATAGATAGATAAAATACGATTAGATAGATAGGAAACAGGTTGTGATAGACAGGTAGATGAATATGAACAGTCTCAGATAGATAGATAGATAGATAGAAATACGATTAGATAGATAGATATAAACAGGTTGTGATAGACAGGTAGATAGATATGAACAGTCTCAGATAGATAGATAGATAGATAGAAATACGATTAGATAGATAGATATAAACAGGTTGTGATAGACAGGTAGATAGATATGAACAGTCTCAGATAGATAGATAGATAGATAGATAGATAGATAGAAATACGATTAGATAGATAGATAGAAATACGATTAGATAGATAGATATAAACAGGTTGTGATAGACAGGTAGATAAATATGAACAGTCTCAGATAGATAGATAGATAGATAGATAGATAGATAGATAGATAGATAGAAGCAGAATGGGATAGATATGAACAGTCTTAGAAACAGACAGAATGAGATAGATATAAACATAATTATGTGTATGTATGTATACACACACACACACACACACACACACACACACACACACATATATATATATAGATAGATAGATAGGTATAAGCAGGATGAGATAGATATAAACAGGATGAGATTGGTAGATAGATATAAACATAATTGTATGTATGTATATATATATATATATATATATATATATATATATATATATATATATATATATAGATAGATAGATTTGAACAGTCTTAGATATACAGATAGATATATAGTTTAGGAATAAGCAAGACAGGAAGAAGCAGAATTAGATAGAAAGACAAACAGAAAGACTAAATTCTCAGCTACGTAGATTGATTCATTGATTTATGGTTTGATTTATACGTAAATTGATCAAATTTCCAAATGCCATCTCCCTTAAGGACGTAAGCGACCATGGCTTTCATCAGCTTCCTTTTCGTTAATATCTATGAATTGTCATGACTTCTTGGGAAAGATAGTGAAGTGGTTTCTCGTTAACTTCTTCACGGTTTTGAATACAAGGTTTTCTTTTTCTTAGACCATTTCCTACTGAAGGCTAGAGAGTCTAGTCTGCCCCTGTATTTAATCCATAAGTGGATGTTGGTGGTAGAGGCTGAAGAAATGGATTCCCGCCTTTCCCAAGAGTCTTAATAAAACGAGGACACAATAAACTAGGACGAAGCTGCTGATCGGAAGATAGAAGGCCACTTTGATTGTTCAGTAGTTTTTTTTTATACATTTGCCAACCTTAGAGTCGTGTGTTATATTTCAAACGTATAATTGCAGTTGCAGAAACAATATACAATATAATGTTAGCTATAAAGTGTACTTATTTTGCCCTAATTGAATCACTGACTTTCTAAAGAGCTCCAGTGCCACATGTGGAGATGAGCCCTTTAGAAACTTAATGATTCAATTCTATTTCCGGTTCCCGAAACTTCAGATTTTGTAGATCAAGCTAAGCTAACGTCTTCTTTATTGCTAAACGTTTTCGGATTGTGCGTTTCCAGTCGGTTTAATCTTTGATGTTTGCCTGCGGGGAATCATGACGGATCTTAATTCGATCTGCAGCCGATTCTGTTTTTGTTTTTGATTTTTGGTCGGGAGGGCTTAGTCATTATCGCAAATATGGGCAGCTGGAGTCGGTCCTCCCCGACACCGCTGACAATTTGTCATACCTCTTTGTGGATCTGCATATTTTGTTTTATATCTATTTTCTTGACTAATTTCCTGACATTCTTTATTTGGCTTGTTTGTTGTCATTTTTTGGCGTTTAATCTGCACCTATCTTTATTTTATTTATTTTACTTTCTTGCAGATTTCTCCTACAATCTTTCTTTCTTTCTTTCTTTCTTTTAAATATTAGTTCAGTTTCTTTCATTCTTTTTCTTTTTGTTTCTTTGTTTTTTCTTTAAAGCCAGCCTCTTTTCTTTCTTTTCTTTTTTTTCTTTCTTTTTTTAAATATTAGTTCCGTTTCTTTCATTCTTTTCCTTTTGTTTCTTTGTTTTCTTTTAAAGCCAGCCTTTTTCTTTCTTTTTTCTTTTCTTTTCTTTCTTTCTTTCTTTTTAAATATTAGTTCTGTTTCTTTCATTCTTTTCCTTTTGTTTCTTTGTTTTCTTTTAAAAGCCAGCCTTTTTCTTTCTTTCTTTCTTTCTTTCTTTCTTTTAAATATTAGTTCCGTTTCTTTCATTCTTTTCCTTTTGTTTCTTTGTTTTCTTTTAAAAGCCAGCCTCTTTCTTTTCTTTTTGTTTCTTTCTTTCTTTCTTTCTTTTTCTTTCTTTCTTTCTTTTTAAATATTAGTTCCGTTTCTTTTCATTCTTTCCTTTTTTTTTTGTTTTCTTTTTTAAAGCCAGCCTTTTTCTTTCTTTCTTTCTTTCTTTCTTTCTTTCTTTCTTTCTTTTAAATATTAGTTCCGTTTCTTTCATTCTTTTCCTTTTGTTTCTTTGTTTTCTTTTAAAAGCCAGCCTCTTTCTTTCTTTCTTTCTTTCTTTCTTTCTTTCTTTTAAATATTAGTTCCGTTTCTTTCATTCTTTTCCTTTTGTTTCTTTGTTTTCTTTTAAAAGCCAGCCTCTTTCTTTCTTTCTTTCTTTCTTTCTTTTAAATATTAGTTCCGTTTCTTTCATTCTTTTCCTTTTGTTTCTTTGTTTTCTTTTAAAAGCCAGCCTCTTTCTTTCTTTCTTTCTTTCTTTCTTTCTTTCTTTCTTTCTTTTAAATATTAGTTCCGTTTCTTTCATTCTTTTCCTTTTGTTTCTTTGTTTTCTTTTAAAAGCCAGCCTCTTTCTTTTCTTTTTCTTTCTTTCTTTTAAATATTAGTTCCGTTTCTTTCATTCTTTTCCTTTTTGTTTCTTTTGTTTTCTTTTTAAAAGCCAGCCTCTTTTCTTTCTTTCTTTTCTTTCTTTCTTTTAAATATTAGTTCCGTTTCTTTCATTCTTTTCCTTTTTTGTTTTTTGTTTTCTTTTAAAAGCCAGCCTTTTTCTTTCTTTCTTTCTTTCTTTCTTTCTTTCTTTTCTTTTCTTTTTTAAATATTAGTTCCGTTTCTTTCATTCTTTTCCTTTTTGTTTCTTTGTTTTCTTTTTTAAAAGCCAGCCTTTTTCTTTCTTTCTTTCTTTCTTTCTTTTAAATATTAGTTCCGTTTCTTTCATTCTTTTTCCTTTTGTTTCTTTTGTTTTCTTTTAAAAGCCAGCCTCTTTCTTTTCTTTCTTTCTTTTCTTTCTTTCTTTCTTTTCTTTTAAATATTAGTTCCGTTTCTTTCATTCTTTTCCTTTTTGTTTCTTTGTTTTTTTTTTAAAGCCAGCCACTTTCTTTCTTTTCTTTCTTTCTTTCTTTTAAATATTAGTTCCGTTTCTTTCATTCTTTTCCTTTTGTTTCTTTGTTTTCTTTTAAAAGCCAGCCTTTTTCTTTCTTTCTTTCTTTCTTTCTTTCTTTCTTTCTTTTAAATATTAGTTCCGTTTCTTTCATTCTTTTCCTTTTGTTTCTTTGTTTTCTTTTTAAAGCCAGCCTTTTTCTTTCTTTCTTTCTTTCTTTTCTTTCTTTTCTTTCTTTCTTTCTTTCTTTCTTTCTTTTTTAAATATTAGTTCCGTTTCTTTCATTCTTTTCCTTTTTGTTTCTTTGTTTTCTTTTTAAGCCTCTTTCTTTCTTTTCTTTCTTTCTTTCTTTCTTTCTTTCTTTTCTTTCTTTCTTTTAAATATTAGTTCCGTTTCTTTCATTCTTTTCTTTTTGTTTCTTTGTTTTTTTTTTTCTTTCAGCCTCTTTCTTTCTTTTTCTTTCTTTCTTTTAAATATTAGTTCCGTTTCTTTCATTCTTTTCCTTTTGTTTCTTTGTTTTCTTTTAAAAGCCAGCCTCTTTCTTTCTTTCTTTCTTTCTTTCTTTCTTTCTTTCTTTTTTAAATATTAGTTCCGTTTCTTTTTCTTTCCTTTTGTTTCTTTTGTTTTCGTCTTTTTAAAAAGCCGGCTTCTTTTCTTTCTTTCTTTCTTTCTTTCTTTCTTTTCTTTCTTTTTTAAATATTAGTTTCGTTTTCTTTCATTCTTTTCCTTTTGTTTCTTTGTTTTTTTCTTTTTTTCTTTTTCTTTTCTTTCTTTTCTTTCTTTCTTTCTTTCTTTTTAATATTAGTTCCGTTTCAGCATTCTTTTCCTTTTGTTTCTTTGTTTTCTTTTTTCTTTCAGCCTCTTTTTTTCTTTCTTTTCTTTCTTTCTTTCTTTCTTTCTTTCTTTTTAAATATTAGTTCCGTTTCTTTCATTCTTTTCCTTTTGTTTCTTTGTTTTCTTTTAAAAGCCAGCCTCTTTCTTTCTTTCTTTCTTTCTTACTTTCTTCGTAAATTTTCCTTTTATTTATTGACTTTTAAATTCTCCGACTTTTTTCTTTGTAAATTCTATTTTTGTTACTTTTTCTTTCTTTCTATCTCCTTCTTAATATTAGTTCAGTTTCTTTCTTTTGTTTCTTCGTTTTCTTTTAAAAGCCAGCCTCTTTCTTTCTTTTTCTTTCTTCGTAACTTTTCTTTTATTTATTGATTTTTAATTTCTTTGTAAATTCTGCTTTTCGTTCTTTTTTCTTTCAATCTTCTAAATATTATTTCAGTTTCTTTCATTCTTTTTCTTTTGTTTCTTCGTTTCCTTTTAAAAGCCAGCTTCATTCTTTCTTTTTTTCTTCGTAAATTTTGCGTTTATTTAATGATTTTTAAATTCTTCGACTTTTTTCTTTGTAAATTCTGCTGTTCGTTCTTTCTTCTTTCTTTCTATCCTCTTCTAAATATTATTTCAGTTTCTTTCAGTCTTTTCCTTTTGTTTCTTCGTTTTCTTTTAAAAACCACCTTCTTTTTTTCTTCTTTGTAAATTCTACTTTTTCTTTCTTTCTTTCTTTCTTTCTTTCTTTCTTTCTTTCTTTCTTTCTTTCAGTTTATTTTTTCATGTCTGAATCATTTAAGAACATTTTTCAGAACATTATGTGGCACGTCAAATGCCAACTTCCGGTCCTTTATTCGGTCAAAAGCAATTCTCGTTTTGCTACTTTCATTATTTACCGCACAAAACTAGGTGGGGTAGAAACACTTTAG